CCTATGTTAGTTCGAAATCGTAGATTCACGAGACCCCGAAGTCTGTACCATGTGATCAAATCCCGCAATTGAAGCAGTTACCAATGCATTTTTGAAAATTATATAATCCATTAACACTGACTAGTAAAATAAATGACGAGTGCACTATTGCAAAGCAGTTGCTGGTCACTGGTGACCACCGTAGTAGTCAACGTGTTAATAAATACATTTTTATAAATATTGGTATTGTAAATTACTTATAATAAACAATAATAATTATCATTAATTTATATCACAATTAGTATGAATATTTATAATATCAATCTGCTCGTTGTTCCCAGCCTGGGTAAATGTTACGTTTAGGGGACCCAGCTCTGATGACCTTGACCTTGACATATGTTGTTAAGGTCAACCTCCTAAGTGACCTCCACAAGGTTTTAGCCATCGCCCGTTGTTTATTAAAAATTTATTAACAAAATTATTGTGGTGAGTTGAACGTACGTTTTCGATCCTAGGTATACATTTAAGGACTCAGAACTTAGTACTTACGCGTTGTATACAAATATTCATACACTTACTATTCTGTGTTGACTTTTCTGTCGAGATTCTGTCATCACTCATAGTTAATTATTAAAAAATACGTCGCTTCCAGTTCAATTGTGAACATTTCACACATAGGACAGTAAATCATCCAAGTAATTTTGTAGATCCTGAAAATGGAGTACATACACAACATGTAGAAACATTATGGCGTGCGAACAACATTCCTCGTTATGGTATCTGCGATGATCATTTTACACATTATCTCCTGAATACTTATTTAACACGTTTCCTGCCAGACCGTTTTTTGAAGACTTTCCGTTCAGGCCGGTTGGGGCGTATACGCCCCACGATCAAATGAGCGTATCAGCAATATCATTAAGATGCCCATAATTGACTGCATAATAAATTTTTGTAAAAATTCTTCGTTTTACAATGATAATATCAAATGGCTTGAACGGAAAGTTCAGCGTGGGGCGCATACGCTCCATGCGGCAGGGAACGTGTTAAAAGAAGATATTTCGGTGATCCTATAAACACTTTCTTCGAAATTATGAATTCGATGTATCCGTTAGAACCTAATTAGATAATTAAAAATCATTAAATGAATTAGAATCGAATATATTGTGCTAGTTAAGAGATGGCCGGCTGCCTCACGGCGGTGGATTATAACTACTAAACTAACCTAAGCCCAAATTAATTCAAATTAATTCGTTCTAAAAATGATGAAAATATTAACATATGTTTAACTTTATATATCGTATTTCTAATGTTTAGAATGATTAATTTGAGTTAATGTGGATATAGGTTAGGTCAACAGTTAGAATACGGCGGCCGTGAGACGGCTGGCCACCAATTTCAGTGATGCACGAGTCTTTAAATTGATATTCAACAACAAGAAGCAAACAAACGAACAACGAGCGACGACTAAATCTTCCGCAGGTTACTCAGGAGGATGACCTCGACAATACATGCAAGGCCAAGGTCATCGGAGCTGGGTCCTTTAAACGTAATATTTACCCCGGCCTGAACCTGGCAATAGAACACGCGGCTTTTCTTGTAATCGAAACCCGCTAAATTCAAAATTGTATACCCAAGAACTGATCTGACCTCAAATTTTGAGATGGAGAAAGAAACAAATACAATCTCAGATTAGTAGTAATGAAACATTTTTCTATGATGCTGTTCGTAACTTAACCGTTTTAGTGCCACGCAGCGCGATCGCGCTTTTCGCGTACTGTGGTGAACTGTGTCGCGATGTTTGGTCCCGATCGTCAATTCGTAACGCTATCGCGCTTCATGGCGCAGTCCGACACGGATTTCTAAAAACCCCTGGCACTAAAACGATTAAAAACCGCGAGTTGGGAGAAAATTTAATTACATTCTACATTCAAAATATTTTTACCAACCGAATATAATGAAAATGGATGTAATAAAAATTACGTTCTGCACTTTTTATATTATCATTTATCGCGAACGGATCGGAGTTTATGTTATAATCGTTTTATGTGAATACTCTTTTTCTAAGCAAGATTACACGGAATTTCGTAAATATAGTGTCAATTAGTGTTGTTACGTCTGGAGATCGGAGTGAAAAGGATATTTAACGTGAAAGGAAAAGAATATTCATATGTGGAAGGTGAGGCGAGACCTAGCCCCCGCGTCCTCGGTGAAGCCGAGAGGAATTATGGGAATAGAAATTTTGTGTGCCTCTCAGCGAGTCCTATACGGACTTCTCGATATTGGTGGGGGTGTGTCTTACGAAATAAATAAACTGGAGTACAATTTACTTAGTTTATGGGATAAATAGTTGTGGAAGATTTATAGGAACTAACAAATTGAGCGCGGGTGCGAGTGCGTGTGACGAGTGTGGGTATATTCTAAATACCTTGATTTCGCTTTCTGGGTTTCCTGTCCGTTCGCTAGCGTCGCACTAAGTTTAAGATGCGTGAGCGCGCGAAGTGAAACTGACTAGAAGTCGATGCGAAGGAGAATAGTTTCGGAATCTTGATCTAACGAAAAATTTGATCTATCTTTAAAAAACTCACGAATAAGTAAAAAAGTAGTAACAGTGTCTCTAACATCTAACGGAAATCTACTTGAAATCTGACGAATAAGTGTCGCTCGCTGCTTAGATTCTAACTCTAGGGTTTCCATCTCCGACTTTTGACCCCCGAAATTCCGGCAGTGGGGCATGAAAATGACTTAAGTCTCCGATGGTGAGGTTTGGAAAGAATCTCCCATTGGAGGAAAGAGTTAAAACCATGTCTTAGGGAAAGGAGTAGGGTTAGGAAAAATCTCTTATTGAAGGAAGGAGTTGAAAAGTATGTTTTTAGGAAGAAGAGTTCGGAGGGAAGAATTTGAGCGAAGTATCCTCGGGAGACGGAAGTTAATGTTTACTTTTCTGGAAATAGATTATTAATATCGTCGTTCTGCCGGGATTTACGAGCTTGCCTGTACAGGGGTGGTATCCGACGTCGCGGGGTCCCCTTTTCCTAAATATTCTGAATGTTACGAGGAGCAGCTAGGCTTAAGGTCTTCGGGACCCCTTTCGACTTATCTACTATTTACGTAGTGGTCGCGTCAGCCGGTCGCGAGAATTAAGATGGGGGGCCTTCGGTTGTCTGGACTGAAAAGAACGTGCTATAGATTCGATGTGTCTATTACTTTGAGAAAGAAAAATCCTGAGCCTCCCGCACTAGTTCGATACGCAAGCCGATGCACGCGTAGGGAGCGTTACGTGAGACTTAATAGTGTCTTATTCATAAACTAGTCGTTTTCGTAATGAAGTTGGTTAAAAATCATTTGTACTACCCACTCGAGCATGGAAAAAAGTTACAATGTTCTTCAATTTCTATTCCATAATTAATAAATATTCATAATGATTGTTCAGGGTGTCCCAAACCTCACAAACAAGAAACACACGGCCATAATCTCTGTTTAATTCTGAAAAAGAATATTGAAAGCTAACTTTAATTCGAATTGTAGTTTAAAAAATATAGTAGTTTAAAGTTGACCAATTCCCAAGCAATATTAGTCGCCGAACAGTATCGGTTCAAACATCCCATTACCTGTGACATCTTCAAACGAGGCTCAAATCTCAATGTTGTGTGAACTCGCATCCAGATTCTCTTCTAACATGATAAAATTCAACAATCTCACGAACAAATGACACATGTTTTTTGTTAACTACAAATACTTAACATAAATGGCAACAAATAATGGAACGATTGTACCAGCACTGTTCGGCGACATAATTGGTTCGTGATTGGCCAGCTCTAAAGTACTGCAGTTTTAAAACTACAATTCTAATTCACCTTTGCGTTGGATATTCTTTTTCAGTATTACATAGGGATTATAGTCACGTATTTTTTATTCGCGAGGTATGAGACACCCTGTATAAATTATTGATAATTACAGTTGATTATTATAATTATTGTACAGTATAAGTATGAATAGAAATAGATTTTTTAATTAAATATGATTAGAAATAAAGTATATTAGTAACTACTGAAATTAAAGAATCTGATCTCATAGTGCCATGTTTACGATCTCGGGAACCTACGTTTTGAAATGAAGTGGGCCAAGGGGTAGCAGAGTAGAGAGATCTATAGATAGTAATGAAACGCCGAGAACGGAAACCACTACATGTCAAATAAAATGACAGTTCATTTCTCGAAATAAAAATAATTTTTGGGATGCGTGTCAATTGGTGCTGTTTACACGCGGAATTTCTGTGAAATAAAATAGTCCGAAATGTAATGTCAAATGTACCGACTATGTCGTAAATTTTCAATGTACTTAATTTTGTAAAATACATCATATATAGACTTGATTTTCACTTTGATGGGTTTCCTTTTTGTTGCTCTAGGGGGCATGACTCCCAAAGATATGAACAGTACTGCGGATTAGGAGTAAGTAGAATACATGGTCCATAAAGATGTAATCTAAGAAAAAAATGTGTTAGGAGGATGAAAAATAAAATAATATTGGGTTGGCAACTAAGTGATTGCGGATGTTAAATAACCATCTATCGACAAAATCCGCAAACATTTAGTTGCCAATCCAATACTTCCTAAATCATCCAATTTTGGTCTCGAAATACGATTTGTATGTTCTAATTATTTATCGTTTAGATTTTAAGTGCATTGTAAATTTATGCCAACCAATTAGATATCGGTATTACTGACCTGGTCAGTAACAAGGCCCCTTAAGTTTAAAAGAAAGAAGCTCAGATTTGGCTACTTATAAATTGATAGGAATATTTGGAAAAACGGAAAACCCCTTAAGCAATTATTACTATCGTTTCAAGCTGCAAATCGGAGAAATGGAATGTATTGATGCGCAGGTAAAAACCTCCAGAAATTGACTCGATGTAATATGTGACCTGTGCTTTGCAACGATCATTCCTCAAAAGGTGTAGAGCGCTCTTTGAACGCCAATCGTTTTTTAAATACTCAATTGTATTATTATTTTTGCAGCCCGCGGAAGCGTCAGAGACGAGGATTCAACTGCCTGGATTGGAAGACGAGGTAACAAATCAATTAATTATACAGGGTGTTACAGAACTGGTAGTCACGGTTTATACAGCGCTATCAGTTAAAAAAAAAAGAGTTGAAAAGACGTGTACTATTTTATCGTATAGTGCAAAATTTTCCTGTAGTAAGTAATTGAAACACAGCCAATCAATCGCGTTCCCCAACGGAAGATATAGTGCAAAGGACGCCGGTAAGGCTGCTACGGCATAGACAGCCGAACACAGCCCTACCGGCGTTCTATCAGCTATGTGTTTTGTTCGGGAACGCGATTGATTGGCTGTGTTTCAATTAGTTATTACAGGAAATTTATGCAGTGCAGGAAAAAATAGTACAAGACTTTTCGACTCCTTCAACAGGGATAGCGCTGTATAAACCGTGACTACTAGTTCTATTACTCCATGTGTAACGATCAAAAGAACATCCTCAGAAATCACTGACGCTAGTTCGTTGAAATCACGATAATTAACATTTGTCCGCGGAAGAATTTAATCTAACATTTCATAAAGTATTTTTCAAATTCTGAAACTATATATCTAACAGTTTATAAATTATCTTTTATATATATATTTTTTTTCAATTGTCTTCATTTTATTCTTCATAATTCGTATTTTCATTTTATTACCCCCCATCATGGGCAAATTATATAATATGAAAAGTATTGTACTCAAAAAGGTGTAATTCACCTGGAATATCATTAATCATATTCTGCCTCATTCGGTGTTGATATTTCTATTTAATAAGATTTACTGTTTCAGATCGAGGAACCGCCGGCAAAGAGGGCATTAAGGGAATCGGATAAAATAAATGTTAAGTGAATTAAATGTATCGCGGGGAATTAAGGACTGGGGGGAGGGGGGACTTAAGGGGTGCGACGATACTATGATAAGCATTAAATGAAGAAAAGAAAAAGCTAAAACACTTTACAAATTAGGAAACAGAATATTTTGGTTATGTACAACAATTAATACACGTAAGTTCACGTATTTCTAGGAGGTAAGCTCGTTAAGGTAACGTCACTCACTTTTTCTGACCTATTGGCACGCGTCGGCTTAGCATTATTTAAAGGATGTGTTAAATAGGCGACTTGCGTACAGGGCGAACTTGTGACCATTTTTTTGTATACCGACTTTTTAAAGTTACATACGCGCGCGTGCGCGAGTTATATGCATACGTATATACACATATACACATATGTATATATACACGTATATAACGTGTATATATATATTTATACATGTATATATACGTACACGTATCTAAGGACCTGCATACACAATAATCGTCTTGAACTTCATTGTACTTCGCGGACGCGTGTCAATAAAAATAAACGGAAAATGCAAAGAAAAGGAAGGAACGCTCGGTGAGGCGACGCCGTCGATTTAGATATAGTAACCGTCGACGAACAAATGATTCGCATAAGAAAAGAGAGAGAAAGAATGGGAGAGAGAGATCAAAGTTTGTTCAGTGTCCCTCTTTTGTGGGGATTTTCGAAAGCACCAGAATACTTCGTGCTGGTTTCCTTTCTTTCTATGTTTATTTATCCTGTTTTCTTCTTTATTTAGGGAGAGAAATGAAATCCCTAGCATTTTCTAGGAAATTTTCTGATCAAGGATGAAGAATGACTCGGCTCGTAAATTGTATAAAGTTAGTCAGGGGGTTTACTTGTAAAAGTGTGTCGACTTGTATTCGTTTAGCGTGTTAATTGAGAAACATTTGGGAATGTTTTGCGAAAGGACTTCTCTTGGTTGACTAGGATGATAAGTTATATTTTCAGTAAAAAAAACGCTTGTCCGAAGTGTTCCAAATTTGTATTCTTTCTTGATCTTGTTTAATTTTTGTAATCTATTCATTACCTGAAACTTCTTTAATTTCTGTATCAGAATTCTTTATTTTCTTAACTGAAAACGGAATGCAAAGAGACCTTTTACCTTTTACTTTCAATTTTCTATCTCGAAAGTGAGGTGCAATTCGTTATGAGAATTATATAGAAAAGTAGCTCGGAATAGTATTGATTTTAACATACACCGACATGTGTATAGTTGGCACGTTAATTCGATCCCGGAATGGAGGAGTTTCAGGTGAAATCGTTCTAGAAGAAGCGGGGCAGTAATGTTTGGGTTATTGTAACGATACGTTGCAATTTCAATGAAAAAGAGTACCCGAATCATCTCTCAGTGTTATAAAATTATTTTGTCGTTAAGGGGATGCTGAAGTGAATTAAAATGATGGAATCGATCCGAACGTTATTTGGCTAACTAAAAAAAAGCTGCAGCAGCATTATCGGGTTTATGGCATCCCGTGAAAAAAATAGGAAGTGAGTTCGTGCACACACTATAAACAACGCAAAGTACTGCGATTAGTTATTTTCTTATGCCTACTTTGTGCTGGAATTTGAATTAAATTGGGCAAATTTTTGGCAACCACTCATCAAGTATTGTTTAATTAAAATTTTCCTAGTTTATTATATGATAACATATTTATTATATTAGAGGACTATTATGTTGTCATCTGTGTTAATGACTCAGAACTGAATATTGCCTTCCTTATCTACGTTGTAGGATTTTCACACAAAATATGTGTAAAACAAGTTCACAAATGTTATCAATTTTTCAGATTTAAACTTGTTTGAAACTGGTTCATTAACGATTCATAATGGTTTCTTTTTATAAAAGAATGGTTTTCCCAAGCGTAAGCAAATCTCAGATATGTTTACCTAGACATAGATTTGTCGCTGGTGACAGTTTAGATGTTAACAGAATCTGCACATTTTTTTTCGATTTCAGTATGATTTCATTCTTATTATTATTATTCCATTAATCTGTTAGTTATCTAACATTTTGGAAAAAAAATTTTCATTTTGCTGAGAAAAAATGCCCTGTTTTGTGAACTCGTAAATCGTCTTTTAGCCGATAATAGTAGGCAGATTCAGCATCCTCTTAAAGAGCAATGTTTCCTTTCGCTTAAATTTGTTTTTTTCTTTAATCTTTTTCGAACAAAAAGTCTTTAGTTTTTGGCTTTTCTTTAAGGTGTTATAAAAGGGGCAATCTAAATGTATCAAAACGTCAAAATATTTATAAAATTTTTCTCCAAAGTGGGTGCATTGAATCATTTGAAATTTCAGCGCGTGATTATGGAGACCCCAAGGTAGAACGCGATGTTTCTGAAATTTTCTTACTCCAAAAAATATTGTATTCAACTCAAACTAGAACTAAAGACACATTTTTGTTGAAAAATGAAATTTCATGATGGCTTTCCTCCTTAGGGGCCTTTATAATTACGTGTTGAAGTTTCAAATGATCCGAGCACCTACCCAATTTGAAGAAAAGTTTTATAAATATTTTGACGCTCTGGTATACAGGATGTCTCAGACCTCGCGAACCAAAAATACGTGACGGTAATCTGTATTTACTTAGTCACGATTAATATCCAACGCAAACTTGAATCCGAATTGTAGTTTTAAAACTACAGTAGTTTAAAGTTGACCAATTACGAAGCAGGTTTCGTCACCGAGCAATGTCTGTACAATCATCCTATTACATGTGCCACTATTTACATTCAGTGTTTGTAGTTAGTAAAAGACGTGTGTCGTTTGTTTGCGAGATTCTTGAATTTTATCATGTTAGAAGATAATCTGAATGAGAGCTCACAAAATCGGCAAAGTAATGATAACAAAAAATATAATGAGAAATCCGTGTTGTATCCAAAATTGCATTTAACATCAAAAATAATAAGCAAAATAATGCCTTGCTAAACGAAAGGTGGACTTTACGGGTCCAGTAAAGGCGAGTCAGTCATTTTGAATTGGTGACCGCAGAGTCGAGGAAGTCACGTAAAATTCCTAACTACTGTTCTGCGAAACGAATTATATTCATTTGCAAATACTAGGCCTGAAAAGAAACTAGATGTTCAGGAAATGTGTCAGCCGGTCAGTTTTTTACGGACCGTGCACTAGCAAACGAGATATAATCCGAAAATCGGCTCGGTAGGACCAGTGATAGACTCCCGATTCCGAGGCAGTAATACACCAATAAACACAATATCATCGCAAGGCGGACCGGCTAACACATTTTACGTGCTTACTGATTAATTCGGCACTAATAACTTGACGAGGAAATAAATAACCTGCAAGAATAGTGGAGGGAAATTTATCACTGCTACAGCTGATATTTTTCACGCCTTGAGCTTCGGGCATCTACCTCCAGATGGTAAAGTAGGCGCCACAGCAGGCTACCAACCACTTATTTAAATATTATATAAATTAAAACGGAAAAAGAAATATAAATCCATACTCTAATGAAAAAATGTTCTTAATTGAGTTGTGTCTTGAATTGATTTAGAAATTTTTAAAATAATGCAGTTATAATTACAAAATTAAGTTTAGTTTCTCGAAGCCCATATCGATACAAGACGATGATGTCAGCGGTACGTAATCCATAGTTGCCAAGATTGGATACAGCAATATCAGTCACTAGGATCTGGGTTTCTTCTGTAGCTGAAATTTTGCTCGAGAGTCAGTTGAGAGAACGAGGCAAGAAAAGAGAACGACAACATAATTGAGAAACGTGCAAACAACACACATCTGGGGACAAATCCCAAATTGATGTAGAGCAACATGGCCAACGCGATCTATAGTTTGTCACTTCGGCATAAAGCGATAATTGCTAGAATTTGATTTTTTCGTAACCTGACATTTCTCCTTCGAGTATGTTGCGAGAGTCGTTTAACAAAGAGAATCGAATCAGACATTCAAGTCTTCGGTTTGAATAAACTTTGATAAAATAATTTTATTTCAATCTGCATTGGGCATTAGCCCAATGAGACTTGCAGATATTTATTCACACAATAAGGATCTCCTATAATGCGGTTCCGAAAAATTAGTTACTCAAAATACAGGGTACACATCGTATAATATTATCAGATATTTGGTCTGTCGGGAATGACAATCTAATACGTAGGACGCACAGACCACTATTCTATAACGCTAGGTTCCGGGAAAAAGTCGATTGATTTTTGAATAATGTATTTTCTCCGACTCAATATGTTTTTTTTGTATTTCGCTTTTTTCATGATATAACAATACTACATAAAAAATAAATAGAGGTGATTAAAAATTGTTCGTAAATAACAGGAAAGGATTAAATTTAAAATTATTTAAACAATGAATTATTTGTGTTCAAAACTACAATTGTACCAAATTTGATTTGATTCGGAGACTTCAACGTTTATCTATCTATCTCATCTATCTCTACTCTTGTTAAATATTGGATCACACATCGAGCATGAACACGTGCCAATTATGTTTAAATCCCGCGCCCGTTGCACGGAAAGAAGCAGTAAGAGGCAAGTTAGGAAAATTAGGCGAAACATCGTCGCTAGTATTGCCATCTGTAGACATTGTCAGAATCGATTAAGCTTCGCATGTTTTACGTAAGGGGCGTTACAATTGTTCACGACTTTCTGGCTGGCCTTACTGGACTCTTAAAATAAGAAAAAAATGTATTTATAATTGAGATTTGACTTCAAGATGAGACGGGTAATGGGATGTTTGTACCGGCACTGCTTGGCGACTAAACCTGCTTTATAATTGGTCAACTTTAAACTGTTGTAGTTTTGAAACCCCAATTCAGATTCCAGTTTGCATTGGATATTCTTTTTCAGATTTAAATAGAGATTACTGTCATGTATTTCTTGTTTATGAAATCTGGGACACCCTGTATATAGAATGACCCTTTTATAACATCCTAAATATTCTTACAGAATGTTCTTAAGGAACTTGTGGTTCACATCACATAGTAATGTGAAATACTTCGAAATATCGTATAATGAAAACTAAGTTTAGGTCTCTTGATACCATCCAGTAAAACACGACGCGAAAACAGCGTTATGGAGTATTCGCTTTTGAAAGTCCTAAAAATGGGTATTTTATAGAAATTTATTTCTAGTAGAAAATAAATGCAAATAACGTGTAATTTTTATAACTTATTCATAAGTTCATTAAGCAACATTTTTTAAATTTTCATTGAAAAATTAAAAGATTTGGCTACAGTTTCTATTAAGCCTAATCATATCAGCCCTTCAGTTGCCCATGGTTCCTATGATTTCAAAAATTCTATTAATGTGAAATAAATGAAACCATTTTTTTTATAACCAGAAAGACAATGTGTTTATCGCACCTGTAAAAATTAAGAAAATAATTTTCACAGAAAAAAGTAATGGCTGAAAGAAGAACGCTTTTTGCTTTTCTCATAACTTTCATTCAATCTTATCGGCTATAAAAATTGAAATTTTCAATCGAGTAATTTTGTTGATGTAAGGGTGATAGAAAATTCATTTACGAATTGAATGAGTCGAAATAGAAGTCAATTGGTATATCTGTTCTTAAAATATCGTGGGAACCATCTTGAAAAATGTAGTTTTAAGAAAAAAATGTTTAAAATTTTCGATCGGATTTTTTTTTTACAGTAACGATTTATTACAGTAACGATAAAATTTGTTCAATTATAATTAAGCAATAATTCCAGGGCCTTATAAAAGTCCATCCTGATCCTCAACAATTTCTTCTTTCTCTGAATTATTTTTTGTTTGAATACATTTTCATTTTTTTCATTTTGTATTTATACTATCAGTTTACTTCAGACGCGAATCTAAAACTCAATTTAATGACATCATAAAACAACGTTTAGAACAACCGACACTTTCGTGCAAAAAATATCAGCAAACGTTTTTGGACCTCTTTCACTAATATTCAAGTTGTATAACAAAAGAACTCAACTAAAGTTAGAACATGGTAACAAAATGATTTTAACGTGTATCACGAACAATTACATTTTTAATTTATTGCTATAGTTTTCTTGTGTTTTAAATAATATAAGATATTGAATTATTTAACACACTCAATGAGTTTATTGCGAAAGCAATGAATATGGATCGCAGCTGAATATTATCTGAAGGCTTGTATCCACGAACAAGTAACTTGTGTCATTTCTTATTAGAGCAGCATTCTGTTGCGTCTACACTATCATTAAATTTGCAACAAATTTATAGACGCAAGTCTCTCTGGCAAGTTCTTGGAAGACAATTTACTACTGTAATTTGCTTTAGCGTTCATATTGTAGCCACAAACTTGCGGCAATTTTTCATGGTCATGAGACATTCGGCATTGAAAATGTGCAACGAGAGAGTAGTTGCTACAGTTATTGTTGCTGTCATTATAACACAAAAAAGAAGAAAACAAAGCCCTTGTAAAAAATAAAAAGTATACGGATTACATGTAAAATAGTTTGAGTGAAGTAGTTTAGGCGCTCACGAAATGCTGTTAAAAGATTTAAGAATGGAGAACCCGGAACAGTTAACAAATTTGTCATCATTAAAATCATTTGAAAGATAGACGTCTTTTCTGCTTCAACTATTTTATTCTTCCATCGTATGAATCACTGACGAATCCGGACACCTGAAACTTGCAGCAAGAATTTCAAGACCTATTCGAAATCCCCCTGCGCAGCTTCGGCTCTCGCAAGCAGACGTAAACGAGATTCTTGTAAAAAACGGCAAGAGCCTGTCGAATAGTGCAACTTCGTTTCCAAAATCGTGTATACTATCGGCAATAAATGTTTAAGAGCAACTTTAGCAAGTTTCACTTGCTCGTGGACACGAGCCTTAATGTGGTCTGAAATTCATTCACACTATATGTACGTTTTGTTTTAGACTTGTTCAGACACCTAACACATCGGATAAAGCCTTGCTAGCAATGCTGGACGGTGTATACACAGAGTGTTCCCGACTACCCGGCTACCCCTGAACTCTTTCGCTCCAGTAGTTCGCTCCACTGAACGAGACGGCGCTCGTCTCTACAGGTCTTTCTATGGATGCCGGATATATCCGGTGCTAAGACCGAAACAGTTAAAATGGAGGGAAATGGTTGAGAAGGGAAATTTGTAAAATTCTAATAAGTAAATCCGGTATGGAGTATCGAATGGTGAAAATTTCAATTTTCAGTTCTAAATATAAATGTGATATCCACGTCGGAAGTACTTTGCATTGCAATTGTAGTTTCTACGTCTAAAATAAGAAAGTTTAGTCTCAAAACTTTGTTTTAAAAATGCCTCTATCGTGTTTGAAATGGTCTTGAAAGTGTAATTCTACGTAAAATTCGAAACCAATGAAAATTACTATGTACCATTTGCAAAACTTTATTTCCAGCATAGATATCCCTTTCCTTGTAGTATCGGAAGATAAATTGATGACCATTCAATAGAGCATAACCGATTTACTTATTCGAATTTTTTGAGTTTTCCACATTATCCCTAGAGGCTATTCACTCTGAAATCAGGGAAAACGATTTCCTTTGAGAACCGATTGCCTTTGATTTCATATGATAAACAACAATGAAATTCGGTAACAAATGACGTTTCACCTTAAAACTGTAAGAACATGTAGGTGATTTCTAACGATTTCCAGTGATTTCCGCTCTCGATTTCCAGCTGATTTCAACGTGATTTCAAGCATTGAAATACACGATTTTCTCAGTGATAAACCATTCCTCTCCATTTGAACGGGAGTCAAGGGATGGATGGTCAAGAACACCCTGTATTACCGAGTACATATCTGAGGAGTACGAACGCGAACAAGGCAAAGCAAGGCGATACGAATGCGTCGTTCACATATTAAGAGCTGGCTGCAAGAAAACTCATGTTATTTCAACAAGGAAATTTGGATGATCAATGGATAATGTTTTCCTCTCATGAACGAAAGTAGAAGTCTGCCTGGCTGCTATGGATAGCTGTAGTTATGACGAGCTTTCAAAGACAGTTGAAAATGGAGGAATTAAAGTAATTTCAGCAAGGTTACTTTTTCTATTATCTCGAAGATTTTGATGCCAAATAACGTTTTATAAAATCGCCAGACCTGTAGGCGGATGGTAAAATACTGCTAGACATTCCTTGGTACGAAATAGCATAAAATTCAAGGTATTTCAACAAAGAGGAATATTTTTTTATAGCTTTCTGTACTATTGAAAATATTATATCTCCAATGGCAGACTAGAATTTTGAAATGATCATATCGCCAGATTATGATAAGGAACACATTGTCCAGTACAGGGAAGCAAATGTTTCAGGCGCAGGAATGTCATCCTCTTCCTCTACCTGAGTCTACCTTGCTTTCTCTCCTTGTAAAAATGCACATATATCTGAGAAGAATTGAAAAATAAGGGGGGGGGGGTAATGCTGAACGACGTGCAATTTGAGGGGTTGCCATGTATTCGGAGGTATTCATTCGATCGGAAACCGATCGGAGCAAGAGCGTTTTAGTTATCAGTCGTATGTCTTAGTAGTTATTTGTACGCTGTAGAATCATTATGGTTGCACAAAATCAGGGCTTCATCCCAGTTGACTTGTGTCATTTGCGAAAGCCATAGTGAAAAGATCTTGTTATTCACTGCTGAAAGTTTACAAAAATGTCCGAAAATACGGATTGAGAATAATGAAATAATAGGTAAAGATGATAGCAACGTTTCATCCTAGTTGCAACCCTCCAACTCTTCTCAACTACCCAACACGTCTCGGCCAACTTCGTCTGCACCAAGTTCTGTGGAATTGCAAGAAGAATCGCTTTCATCCACCTCGTCGTAGGATGCTACAATGGAAAATGTAAAGATTCCGGAAGGTTTGCTGAAATTATGCAAATTTATGATAAATAAAGAAGAAAATTCAAGGGAAAAGAGCAGCCTCTACATGTTTCCACGAAAAACATTTGAGAATAATTTCGTAGAGTACGCGTCGGCATTAAATGATTTAAGAATGTTGGTTAAAATTAACAGTAAATGTGCCGCTGCACTTCAAGTGCCATATATCAATATTTGCAAAATGGATTACTACAGTCGATATAAGGTAATTTCTGATCGTAAGCAAACTGCATGACACGCAACAAGAGATTACCATAGATCGGCTTTCGAAGAGATCTTCAGTACTCTTCACCACTCTCAGAATCGTGGTTCTGTTATCATCATCGTCGTCGCCCCAGACAGACTATTCTTTCGCAGAGAGGATAGGTCGACGGTCATATAGTTTTTTGGCAGCCAACATACGTCACCGCCTCGCTCGAAACGAAAAGGAACTATACCCATCCCAGCCTTAAACTGATTGTATTTTTGTAGAAAAAGGATTTAATGAAGTTTTTGAAATCGTTGAAGCCAAGTCAGATAATATAATTTCTAAACTTAAAATGGCGGACAAAAAGTTTCAGACTAATTTGATTTTTATAAGAAAAACTGATTTCTCTAGAATCTTGGAATCGATAAATTCAAATATGACAGAATGCGAAATTCAAAATTCAAAATGGTGAATAATATAATTTCAAAATGACTGGATTATAATAAAAAAACGGTTCACCATGCTTTTTATAATCGTTTAATCCAAATCTGGTAACGGAAGTTTAAAATTCAATATGGCGGATAAAAATATAAATTTTTTATATATTATTAAATGATATATTTTTATAAAAATAAATTTCTCACGGTATTCGTGGCCGCTGAACCCAAATCTAACATCATAATTTCAAAATTCAAAATGGCAGACACGAAATTACATAGTGATTGTATTTTTATAAGATAAAAGGAGTTTTGCAGATTTTTGAGGTCGCTGAATTCAAATCTGGCAACAGAATTTTAAAACGCGAAATAGCGGATAAAAAGTTTAAAAATGGTTAGATTTTTGTTCGAAAAAAAGATTTCTCAAGATCTTTAGAGTCATTGATTCCAATTCTGGAAACAGAATTTAATGAATGAAAATAGTCGACCTAATATGGTGGATAAAAATGGATTTCTCACGGTTTTGGTGGTCGCTAATTCCAAATTTGATACAAAAATTTCAAAATTCACATTGGCGGATAAATTATGCTGCCATTAAAAATGTTGAGGGTGTTAATATAAAAANACACGCCATTCAACTCTTTGTCGTAAGCCATTAGAATTAGGAATGCAGTTCCAGTTTATGGAATTAACCTTGAGTCAGCCACCTCACACGATCGCGACAGAGTTCGAGTCCAGGCTAGGGCGTTAGAGTAACAATTGGATGTAAGCACGCGTAAATTCGAGTTCGCGATGGGCCAACGACTGGCGGAGGCCGAGCAGTGGAAGGTAACAGTCCTAAGGTGCACCCGCAGTCAATAATTATAGGGGCGACAGACGCGATTACTGTGCGCCGCCTAATGCAGTGCATGACAAATCCCAATAGGTGTCCATTAGTTTCGCGGTCGGTATCGAACCATCAGCGTAGGAACTGGGGGGGGGGGGGGGCACGCAAGTCAAACAATGACATTCCAGGGGTCTCCAGGGCGTCTAAAAATAGATTCGCGACACAGTCTCTTGAGGACCCATCGTCACCGAGACCCCCGCGTCGGGGGCCACACCCACCTGTGTGACGAGACAAACATGGGGCGTCCCGAACGTCTGATCCTACCACACGGACAAACCACAACGTTATTTATTTAAGAGAAAACGTAGAGGCGCGGTAGACAATATCTTCAGAATGTAGCCGTTACTCTGTGTTGGCGCCGTGTTAAGCGAGGCCCGAGTTGCATTTTGTTTCAGTAACTATATATCACAAAATAAACCGAAAAGCAGCGCGGAACGACGCCGTCCAATTCATTCGCGCGGCGGAGACTGCTATTGTTTATAAACAGTGGGTCCCCACCCACTCGAGCTCCCGAGCCCACATTCCGACCGAGCCGAAATTACGCGCAAACGGCTCGGAATGCGTTGGTCCATATGGACGCTGCATCAAACTACCTATTGTCCAATTATTGAATATTATTCGTTATACCGCGGGTAGCCATCGGCATACTCTGCCAAAATCCTTTTTTTTTTAAGCAACGCGGAGGCGAGAAACGAACGTTCATACCACACCAAACGAGCCTTGATTCGCACTACTTGTGCGAACCAAGGCCATTCTTTTGTTTATGAAAGCAAGGGAAAGGTTGGAGTTAGGGGTTCTCCTTTTTTTTATGCCAGGGGACGAAAGATTTTCGCTTACTGCTAGTCGCGAGGAAAGTAACTTTTACTTGCTTGGTAAATCCCCCAAAATCATAGTATATCACGTATACTTTATGGCAGGGTGGAGGCTTTTCCTTTCAGACCTTTCAAATTACCTTTTTACTGTGACGCCCGTCCTGAGAAACTAGCGAAACTCGAGACTCGAATTTTATCTTAGCACATGTGTTTTGCAACTGTTGCAAACGAATGTTAACTTTAGATGAAATTATGTTTTTTTTTTGCAAATATTACGTTCTTGAGACATAGCAAATTTTTGACGTTTTTCTTATCTTTTTTGTAGTTTTTTCGTATTTATGCAAAATATGGCAATCACAAGATGCTACACTTAGTTACAACAGTATATGCTATACTTGCACAGTAAAAACTTTCGGCAAACCTTATAGCGTTTTCAGCTGAGCTACACTGAGGTGCACTGTTGTAGAGTAACACTACTAAACGTGTTCTACTGGTCAATGCAGTACATCCGGTACGTGTATCCTGACCACACCTTCACCGCAGTCCTAAATCCGGGATTTATCGGATCCGGATCTAGTAAATCGCATGTCTTCATCGCAGTAATGAATACGCAGTTCGATTCTGAGCGTCTCGATCGACATTTAAATTCGGATTAACTGGGTTTAGACCCGATAAATCCCGGATTTCGAGTTCGACGGAGACGTAGTTCATGTTCAGATTGTTAGTGGTGGGTTGACGGTGCGATTACATTGCATTCGTTACACTTTTACCGTCGTCGCAGGGAGCAAGCATGGACGTATAATACATGAA